GGTATCTCCGTCTGTCCTTCCAAACACCTCGCGAAAATGCACCAGGAAGTTCTGCAGATCGTGAATGATGGGGCTGGCCTGAGTCCAAATCGTTTCCGCCCATTGCAGTGCAGGTCCTGTTAGCAGGGAGATAATAAAGGCGATTTTAGAAGTGTCAGTGGGATATGATTGCGGTTGCATTTCAAAAGTGAGGTTACACTGGAGGAGAAATCCATTGCAATCCTCCGCCGAACCAGAGTAGGGCGCCGGTCGGGCCATGGGACTGGCGCTGATGTTAGGCGAAGAAGTGCTGGTTGGGATGGGTGGTGATGGCGGCGATGCCGGTGGATTGCGTAGCACTCGTCGTAGTGAGTCTACGAGCTCCTGGAATGGATCGGGGTTACTCATCTGTGCCGTCGGTAACGGAAGAGGTCTGATGCAACAGGCTAGTATAAATCAAATAGGTTTATTGGGTCACAGAGAGTACTGGGGTAGGGTTCAGAGGATGTGATGGTGAGGGAATAGTTCGAAGGATATGATGAGTGGGGTAATCCGGGTCTGTGGCTGTACAGGAGCTGGAATGCAGGCAGGAGGAGCACACACGTCAGCGATCCGGGAATTGGAGGAACGGGAGACACTTGGAGACGAGGAGACACTAGGAGGTACACAGGAAGTAAGTAATGCAGGAAGTATTCAAATGGAAGTAGTAGCAAAGTCATTGAGTCCTCTACGTGCATACGAGACCGGAGGTCTGAGGTGTGTGCTTTTATGCAGGCTGGTAATGAGGTGCTTGATAGGTGACAGGTGCAGGTGCTCAGAACTCAGGTGAGAGGGATCGTTGTGATTGGGTGGTGGTGGAGTCTGGCCGATCTGTTACACTTTGCTTGTACATTCACTAGCCCTCTTTCACACATACCGTTTTTACTAGTAAATTATTGTTAAGAGATCATGTGTGAACAGGACCTTTTCAAAAAATACTGGTAAATTTGTTCCGGCAATTTACCAGTATGAGAAGTTGTAACATTACCAGTAAATTACCGGTAATATGCTTTGTGTGAACACAAAACAAGATTACCGGTATGAACACATACAAGTTCAGAACATGCTGACATAAGACGTCTACTCTGGGCCAATCATAACATTCTGACGCACATGATGCAACAACATGTAAAAAGATCTATCTAAGATCACAGGGTTAAGCTGTGACGACTGCGTCGCTTTTCAAGCTTGAATTAGGTTACTACGTTGCATATAGACCAGTTTTTGTTTTTTTTGCCGCGACTATCAATGTAAATGAATACACTGACAAATAAAGTAAATTGTTAAAACTTAAAGGGGTCATATGATGCAATTTCATTTTTTCCTTTCTCTTTGGAGTGTTACAAGCTCTTGGTGTATAAAGAAGATCTGTAAAGTTGCAATGTAACAATAATGTACAGTATTTGAAAAATAATTTTTTTTTTTTTTTTTTTACTTTAAACCGCATAAACACATTTCATTACACCAAATACACAAAATAATATTCTTTTTAGCAGCATCATATGACCCCTTTAAACTTGAGATTTACACTATAGGGCACATGCCCCAGTAAAAAGGGTCTAGCGACATCCCTGGATGAAACTGTTGCATCATGTGCTTTTTAACACCATTTTCATAGGTTTAACGTAATATTATCAGCTCGGAAAATACATTAATTTGACTACAGTCGTTGCCAAAAGTATTGGCAGTGACATAAACTTTGTGCTAAATTTGCAGCTTGAGCTGTTGTGGTGTTCATTCACATTGTTTCATCTCAGTGATGGGCCTGCTGTGACCTCTGACCCTGTGTGAGTATAATTCACTATCTTCAGCGGATGTGAAATTATAACATGATGAATCATTCATGAAAGAATCTTTCTCTGAAATGTGGACATTAGTGAATCACATTGTAAAGAAAAATAAAAGAGAAATATTAAGGTATATAAAAATGTTTAATCCACGCACAGATGTTCTTAACTATCTTCCCAGTAATGTGATTTAAAGGTCAGAGCGAGGTGACTTTAGTAACCGTAGAAGTTGTATCAAAATGTTGCTGTTTGAAAAGCCCCACAAACATGGGTTAGGGTTAGTAGAAAATGTTGACATGTAGTTGTAAAGTTACTTTGTAAAGTAAAATGTCTAAATTGGACTATCAAAATAAAGTGTTTCTGGCCACTAAGCTCAGAATCCCTTGAACCACATAAAACAGCATTAATTGAATCCCTTATGCTCTAAACATATACATTTAATTCATAAACTTTCCCACTTGCATTATTTTCATTGAGGGGTCAGAATGATTCGGAACTACAGGCTGTTGGACCTAATGAAAAAGGACATCTCATAAGCTTGCTACACTGAGATTGAATTAATGTGTGAAAAACTTGTTGCATCTTTCCCAATAAGACTCATGGCTGTATTAGATCAAAAGGGTGCTTCTACTAAATACTGAGCAAAGGGTCTGAATACTTAGGACCATGTGATATTTCAGTTTTTCTTTTTTAATAAATCTGCAAAAATTTCAACAATTCTGTGTTTTTCTGTCAATATGGGGTGCTGTGTGTACATTAATGAGGGAAAAAAATTAACTTAAATGATTTTAGCAAATGGCTGCAATATAACAAAGAGTGAAAAATTTAAGGGGGTCTGAATACTTTCCGTACCCACTGTATATATTTACCATTGAAATAAAAGAGCTATTGAAATAAAACATATTTATTTGGTTGATCTAAGTTTTCAATACCAAAACTCATGTTCATTTAACCTAATTTGGGTTATTTTAAGTAAGTTCACCTTAGATATTCCAACTAAACTTTCAAATAACTAACTTTGCCAAGCTGAAAATACTTAATAGTCTAAACAAATACAACCTAACTGAGACAATGTAAAAAGATAACTCAAAAATCTGAGCGAACATGAATTTTGGAACTGAAAAAGTAAAGCGAGTTTCTTACTTTTTATACTTTTAAGTTTTTCCAACTAAATTTTATAAGTTGGAAACTATGTTGTGAGAAAGCACAATTCTGCTCTGCATACATGCAGCTTCTGTGCTGCTTCCACTCTGTTACGCCTCTAGTGTTCTATGCTTCTGAGCTTCTTTCTCACATTTCTCTGTTAGATGTCTGTTTACACAGAAATTATTTTTGTCAATGAGTTAGATGATTTAATGTCACATTGACGGAATCCTTTAAATATACAGGTTGTTTGTTTTGGTGTGTTTTCAGTGGTTGGAGAGCTGACCAGATTAGAAATGTGTCCTCACAGATCGGCACATCCTCCTACAGTCAGAACCACTTCAGTCATCATGATACAGAAACAGACCTGCAGCTCCATTCTCACCAACCAGTGCATGATGATCTGCAGAGAGTCAAAGACCAGCACAAAACCAGCATGAAGAACAAGTATGAGAGCTTATTTGAGGGAATCAAACGACAAGAGAATCAAACCCTCCTGAACAGGATTTACACACAGCTGTACATCATAGAGGGAGAGAGTGAAGGAGTGAAGGAAGAACATGAGGTGCTGCAGATGGAGAAAAGTTACAGGACACTCCAAGACACTCCAATCAACTGCAATGACATCTTTAATCCTTTACCTGAACCAGGATATGAGGAGATGAGTAGAGAGAAGAAAGACAAAATAAAGACGGTTCTTACTAAAGGCATCGCTGGAATTGGAAAAACCGTCTCTGTGCAGAAGTTCATTCTGGACTGGGCCGAGGGAAAAGCCAATCAGGATGTAGATTTCATGTTTGTGCTTCCATTTCGAGAGCTGAACTTGATTAAAGATCATCAGTACAGTCTTCACAGACTTCTGCTTGACTTTCATCCTGAACTTCAAGATCTGGACTCAAAGATTTATGAT